TAGGAACTAATACGTTACTTTGTGAAATTAGTATTACTAGATGGCCTCATTACTATAAATTTTATATGATCTATGCTACAGGCCAATCGTGACGACATAAATCAAAAACATATCATTTAATAGCAACTCCAAGTTAAATTAGCGTGTGGACACAATTTCTCTTGCAGTGGTGGAATATAAATAAAAATATATAAGTTAAGGATATAGTGAATATATAATCAAAAAACTGATTTACCTTAATCTCTCTTCTTAACTCAAATATTACTGGTCACCTCCTACATAAGACTTAAATAATATGTATAAAACGATTTAGGACTATGCTATGATATACATAAATGAAAAACAATATGAATCTTAAAAGTATATGTCAACCAAAATGTATGCAAGTTTGGAAAAACACGCTTATTTTATTTTGGCTGTTATTTTATCATCTTTTACCATAACTTTGTTTGGATGCAGTAAACCTATGCTCGTGCCGTCACTCGAATGCTTGCGGTGCCGTTTGGTGGTGATAATTGTGGGTTTGACTCCTATTATATACTTAATTTGCGGTGCCTCTATTATATGCATTATATTTATATCTTATTTATCTAATAATTCTATTTTTACTCTTCTCTCATGATCGTACAATATGAATATTGCTATTTCCTTTGCGTTTATTATATCCTTTTTTAGAATAATTATTTCATAATTTCGTTGGCCACTTTTTAGTTTACTGCATAGAATAAATGGGTGCATTTTTGGAGAAGCCCAAAACCGAAAAGCATGGTGAATCTGGTGGTGGAAATGGCATTCGTTACGGAGTTTGTAGTATGCAAGGTTACCGAGTGGAGATGGAGGATGCTCACGTTGCAAAAACCGAACTTTCCGGCGAGTTTTCCTCTTGGTCCTATTTTGGAGTATTTGACGGCCACGCGGGTTGCCGCGTTTCAGAACTTTGTGCTGATAAACTCTTAGATGTAAGCAAATCATCACCTCATTTTATTCCTTAGTTTATTTTGGCGACTGAGGAGTTTAAGAAAATGTCAAAATTACAATCTCAACCGTTAGAGCATGAATTAGTTAGAAATGGAATAGTCAAGGGCTTTCTAGATTTCGATCATTATTTGGAAGCTGAAAATAGCAACGAACGATCAGGTTCTACGGCTGTAGTTGCTTTTGTCACCCCTACTCATATCATACTTGGCAACTGTGGCGACTCACGAGCAGTTCTTGTAAAGAATAATCAGCCAGTTGTTGTTACAGAAGATCATAAACCTTATCTTCCTGCGGAGCAAGATCGCATTTCTAATGCCGGTGGTTCGGTAGTTCTCTGTCGTGTAAATGGCTCCCTTGCTGTATCGAGGTAGGTCTTATTTTCTCAATTTAAATTCCTGAATTTTCATGTATAATTTTTTTTTAACTTAAGGTCATTAGGTGACTTCGAATATAAGCAAGTACAGGGCAAGAGTGCCATCGAACAATTAGTTTCAGCAGAACCAGATGTCACCATTATTGAGCGACAAAAGGATCAAGACCAATTACTCATTTTGGCTTGTGATGGTGTCTGGGACGTCTATAGCAACCAGGAACTATGTGATTACGTTCTCCAGCGACTAAGCTGTGTTGCATCATTAGAAAGAGTGTCGGCTGAAATTTTGGACACAAGTTTGCACAAGGTACACAAACCTAAATTTGTTTTAATTGGCGCCACTTATAGACACTATTTTACCTATATTTAATAAGCATTGTCGCAGAAATATCTATATCCTTATACCTTACTACGTCTACTATCACTACTTTATCCGCAATTTATCAATATTTGCATATTTTTTCCTTAGGGAAGCCGGGACAACATGAGTATTCTTCTTGTATCTTTGGACAAAGCACCTTCTGTAGATCCTGATGCATCTTTGAAGGATAAAGAACTTGACGCTCAAATTCAATCTGCAATCAAAGGTATGATATTTTGCCTATTTTTGCATGAAAGTTCTTGCTGTTTGAATTACATAACTTATCTTTTGCGTCTGTTTAATCAATTTCAGATATTCTTGACAATACGTCGCATAAATTCGATTGTTCGGTTGACTATGTTGCTGGGGTTATTGATTCGATGGAACTCACAAATTATCCTCCCGGTGGAATGATCACTAAGTAAGTACTGAATTGACAGTACGGTTAATCATCGTTCTTTTCTCATGTTTGTGTCGGATTCTATCCACCTAATGTTGATGCTCGCATAAAATGCTAGAAAATTTGCATAGTAAACTGCTTGTATAAATATTTTATCTTATTTAATTATCATCCAAACATGAATCCACATAGATTAACATTTTTTTGTTGCGACTTTACGAGCAGAAATATAATAAATTAATTTTAACATGCTTTAATTCATTATTCCCAAATCAGTTTAGCTGATCTACCTGTCTGGAATGC